TAAATTTTTTCTTCATTATCTCTCTTTCCTTACTTAGATATATCTGTTTTCCTTCCTTTGATATTATTAATGTTTTCTTTTACACCCATTCTTTTCTCCTTCATATTTATTTATCTTTCTTTAATGGGTTGCCTGGAAGAGATTGCTGCCTAGCAATAAGGCTGCCTATATTATGTAAGTTCTGTCTTTCATGTTTTTAATTTACTTGTGTGTCTTGTATGGTGTATAACAATAAGGGATATCATTATTATTATTCTGTAAGAACAAACTAACTTTTCACTGCTTTCGGTAGATATAATAGATCACCTCAAAACAAACCGTCGGCATATATCAATTTGGTGAAATAGGGCACAGGATGAAGAAATTGGTAGAATTTGAAATTAATAAATATAGAACCGACTTAAAAATAACTGCAATGTCATAAATAAGGTTAACGTACTATTATATATTTGAAGTCTATACCATTCATTATAATGACCTGCCTGCTAAAAACATGACTTGGTATCGACTTCAAATATACCGGTTCGTTTTCATTTTCAGTATTTTTGAAGACGTTACTATTTTTTATTAAAAAACATTTTATTTTTCCAATTTTAGTGTAAATCGGAATACGCTTACGCGCACATGTATAGGGTTTTTTGTAACTCTACCCCTAACAGGGAGAAAAGAGGTAGTAAATTTTACTGCGGGGCTTGATTTTTTTTTATGCAATATAGGCAATGCGTTTGGCCACAATCTCGCCTGATGGAAAGCGATGATGAGGCCTAGGATGGATTAAATCGAAAATAAAAACTGGATAACACTTTGCACACATTCAGTTTATTACATAAAAAAATCATAGGTTTCCGTGGAATTCTCAGTAAACTAAAGTTAACTTGGTTGCTAGTATATGATGCTTGGTAGTAATGTTATGAGCCTAATCTTAATGATTCACAAATAAGCCATTATACGGCTTTACATGTCCCGTTCAATCTTGAAGTGAACAAGGTGGCCAAGCTAGCCCTCAAGTTAAAGCAAAACTAGATGATTTTTCATGTGTAGAATATACCAACATTAACTTATGTATGCGTACATGAAAATTTCGTGAAGATCAAACATATTTTACAGAGTTACAGCTTCATCTGCAGTCGTTAACACCTACCAATCTGCACGGGGCACGCGTGGTGGGTCAAGGCTGTCTCCCTATTTCATTCAAAGGGAAGGCCTGTGCCCCAGCAGTGGAGCATTTATTGTCTGATGATGATGAGCAATTACGGAACCCAACATAGCACGTGTGAAGAATCTGATTGGTGTCATTTATGTTAAACACTTTTAAATTAGGTTATCATCATCATCATCATCAACAACCTATTAATGTCCCCACTGCTGGGGCACAGGCCTTCCCTATGGATGGAATAGGAAGATTGGGCCATGACCCACCACGCGGGCCCAGTGCGGATTGGTAGGTACTAACGACTGCAGATGCAGCCGGGACCAACGGCTTAACATGCCTTCCGAAGCACGGAGGAACTCGAGATAGAAGATTTTTGGTCATCCATCCAATGACCGACCACTGCGAATGTTGCTTAACTTCAACGATCGCAGCCGAACATGCTAACCACCCGCGCCATCCAGCTCCTCATATTAGGTTATATCACCGGAAAATACGGTATATTCTTATCAGGCTGTCTGTGTCTGTGAATTTGTGACAGAGGGCAACCAAATTGTGTTTTGTAGTTAAAAATATACAAACGAAATCCATGTATTCATATTTATTTACGCGACATTTTGATTCTTGTAACCTCAGAGTCACAGAGTTGTTGTTTTAACGTAAGTAGTAATGATAAGCATCGCTGTGGAGCGTTTGCTTTGAGGGTATACTTTGATGATGATAAAAAAATGGAACCACTTTCACATTCACTTGTTGTAAAAAGGTACTATAAAATCTTTTGATAGTATAGCTATGTTCATAACCCAAACAATATAATTATAAACAAGCTTCATCTTCTATGCTACAATATACAAAACATATGATAAGCTGTTGTTAAGAAACAAAATAGTGTTTAAAAAAAGCAATATGCAATGAATGATGTATAAAATTATTGTCTCAGTTTTCTAACCGAAACTATAAATAATTACAAGCGCTAGATATTATTTTTATGTTAATGAGTTCAATAAAAATTAATTAACCTCACCTACTATCGAGTTCCATTAAATCAATAATTCACTTAGATTGTATTTGCCTAAGCTTTTCTAAAAAGGTTTAGACAAATTCAAATCCCCTGTCCGTTTAGTTAGCAAACAATAATGTTTGCGCAGTCTTGTTCCAATAATTCTATCGAAAAAAAACCTAAACCTGTATTCCGTCTACCACTTATAAGAAAATCTAATGCTACTTGTATCGTGCAAGAATAATACTTGATAGGCGAGGAGCCACCAATCCTGAAAGCTCCGTGATCAAGGATTCTAATATTTTTAATAAAAAATAAAAGTTAACGTTTAGACGAACAAGATTTGCTTGGTCTTCAAATTTTTGAAGTGTCGAAATGATCTGAACCTCCAAAATGGTGTATGACAACGTAGGTATGCTGTGACCTTTTCGGAGTAAGAGAGAAAGACTTTAACATAAATTCGATGCTACTCTTATCTCACTTACTCTTGGAGCAGTCTTATGAAACCGGAGTAAGAGAGTTAACACTATGCAGCTCTGTCATAGAACAACCTCACTTTAAGGTATTGTGTATCTTTGAGGCAGGTAAATGTTAAATTCGTAGCGAATAGAAAGAGACGAACTCATGCAAGGTTGAAACCTTGAACCAAAAATCTACCTCACTCACTCTTTACAGAAATATAGAAACCGTTAAAAAGACTATTCGCGAGTTAAAATTTGGTATGCGCGATACTTTCGGCAGTTTGTAAGCACGCATACTAAGATAATTATAAATGTGTCATTAAAACGCGTGAATTAAAAAAAAAGGTTTCCGTGATAATGGTTAAATTTTACCCCTTATCACACCATTCAAATAGGTATGCGCGACCTTTCCGGCTAAAAATCATTGGTCAGCCGGATTTTTTCTTGTTGAACATAATATTTCACACAAAATCCTATATAACATTGATCAAAATCCGTGATGACGGAAAAAAATATAGAAATTTAATAATAAATAATTTAATTAACATATTTACGGCTAATCAAATCCACGCCGACCAATCAAATCTTGTTCGTCTAAACGTTAACTTTTATTTTTTATTAAAAATATTAGAATCCGTGCTCACGTAGCTTTCAGGATTGGTGGCTCCCGGACTATGAGAAAGACTGGAAAAAAATGTCTTTAAGAACTTTGTTTGTTATTTTTGTAATTATGTTTAGCAGGTATGATGTATACAAAATTTTGGTGAAAATAAATTGAACTAATAGTTAGAAATATAATTCAACTCACATGATGCTTTTTTATATGAGATGACGAGGCTAAATTATTTATTTATGGAAAATGAGTTCGCTAAGATTTTATGTATTGACGATATGCATAAGTTATTATTAACGCGTTTCTACTATGTCATGCAATGTAAATCCAGCACATCGCTTAATTCTCACGGAAGCAAATAAAGTCATACAAATCTGAACTGAGCCAATAAAATATTGGCTTTTGCAAAAAAATCTTTCACATCACAATAAAGAAATAATTACCAAATATGCAATCATTCGTGTTCGAATCCCATCGGATGCCTGGACCGCGTGTAATTTTCCAGTAATATTTTCTATAGAATCCTTCGGAAGTTATGTAACAGAATACATATTGGTGTTATGGCGCGATTACATTTGGTCGTAAGCCCGAATACGAATGCTAAGAATTCGGCTAAACGACTAAGTGTAAATGAAAGGAGTCGAGTACGCCCGTATTCGGGTAGTTTATGTTTTAGTTACCGGACACCGTGTTTCATAATAAGTTTTTGGTACCCATACAGTTAACGACCTTTGCGAAAGTTGCTTAACTTTCATGATCGCAGGCCGACGGCGCTCATCATCTGCGTCATCGAGTTCCTAATTTGATCTCCAAAATACATTTTCTGTTAGCTTTACTCTTACTTACTTATAAATTAGCCTTTCGATATATCGTGATTGAACATCATCGTCATCCATACTATTATAATTTTACTAGATACATAGATTTTATACGAATGCCAAAAAAGAAGAGTAACGATTTTAAATTTCATATACTTATGTAAGTGGATAGGTATCTTAACCCTGCTATGAGTCCTAGTTTCACAGAATACATATTGGTGTTATGGCGCGATTACATTTGGTCGTTAGCCCGAATACGAATGCTAAGAATTCGGGTAAACGATTAAGTGTAAATGAATGAAGTCGAGTACGCCCGTATTCAGGTAGTTTATGTTTTAGTTACCCGACACCGTCTTCCAGTTCGTATTCCAGTGAAAATATTGCTTCGGGTGCTCGAATTCGAGTAACGTGTCTCGTGCACCCAAATAAGGGCCGACCGAATGTAATTGAGCCACAACGGGCGTATCATCATTTAAATAGTAAAAAATACTCTAATTGAAATGAACGTCAATACTTTCTTTGTGTTTCTAGTAATATTTTTTTTTCACCCAGAGAGAATTCAACAATATTTGTATCTCTAGAGTGAAATCTTTAGAGTCTGTGCGGAAAGAGAATGGGATTTAGAATGGAGGGCGCTGTAGTGCCTTTCTTCCGTATTTGTTAGGCTTTACCCCTTTTAGACATGGCTTTTAGAAAAAACCGCAAGAAATCACAACAACAAACAAATCCGAATCAATACAAAACTTTGACGTTTTACAGATTGCTGGGTTTGATTACCAAATAAAAATCTTAATGTTGGTTCCGTTTTCGCCACGCCCATTCTCTTTCCGCACAGACTCTAACTCCGCACCGCTCCAGCTAACCATGTTTTCATTTATTTTTATAGCGAGTTAGGCAAATGACTCTACCCCACCTGATGTGTTCGTACCAATAATGTAATCTTCACCTATTGTTTCAGGTAATAGGAATGGCGTCAAACATCTCCGTGAGAGAATTCTACAAAGGCAGGAGTGTCCTGGTGACCGGCGGGACCGGGTTCATGGGAAAAGTTCTAGTAGAGAAGTTGTTATACTCTATCCCGGACATCGGAAACGTCTACATACTGCTGAGACCCAAAAGGGGCAAGTCTGTAGCACAACGATTGGAAGATATGCAGCGGTTACCAGTAAAATGCTTTTCTTTTTAAACAAAACTCATTCATCAATATAATCATCAGCATATTATTGACCTCACTGCAGGGATAAGCCTTCCATATGGATGGAATAGGGAGACGGGGCCGTGACGTGACCCACCACAGGGGCCCAGTGCAGATTGGTGGATGCTAACGACTGCAGATGCAGCCAAGACTAACGGCTTAATGTGCCTTCTGAAGCACGGAGGAACTCGAGATAATAAGTTTTTGGTACCCATACAATTGACGACCTTTGCGAAAGTTGCTTAACTTTCATGATGGCAGGCCGAAGGCGCTAATCACCTGCGTCATCGAGTTCCTAATTTGATCTTCAAAATACATTTTGTGTTATCTTTACTCTTACTTACTTATAAATTAGCCTTTCGATATATCGTGATTGAACATCATCGTCATCCATACTATTATAATTTAACTACATAGATTTTATACGAATGCCAAAAAAGAAGTGTAATGATTTTAAATTTCATATACTTATTGAAGTGGATAGGTATCTTAATCCTGCAATGAGTCCTAAATGTCCAACAGATTTGGACATGAAGATGATAAAATAGTTAGAATTCTTACGTCATTGTAAATTAACTATGAATTTTTTTGGTTTGAAAATGACGGCTTAATTCCGCCATCTTAGTTTCAAGGCTGAATTAAGCCGTCATTTTCAATTTTGTTTTTTATGAGATACGGTGCTTCTACATTTGGTCGCTAGCCCGAATACGAGTGCCAATGGAAGTAAATTAACGGAGTTGAGTTCGCCAGTAATCGGGTAGTTTTCATTTTGGTTACACAACACCGCCTTCGAGCCAGTAAATAAATAAATAAAAATAAAATAAAATAACCTTTATTGCTGTTTCTTTTTACAATAACTATGCCTACTTGCTAAAAACTAAATATACATTCTAATTTGTATAAAAGTGATCGGCAACTGGTTGCTTATGTTGAACAGCTCGCACTCCACTGCAAAACTAGAATTCGAGTAGTAATGTCTTTCGTGCACCCGAATACGGGCTAACGACCAAATGTAATGAGCCATTATCGTGTAGTGTCCTGCTTGTGGACTCAAGGCGACAACAAGACAAAGTTCACATACATCGATTTATAGATTTTAAAAGTAAATACCCTGTGTTTTTGTGCATATCGTAAGATTCGTAAGAGGCCCGCTCTTAATGCTGCTCGAAGCTTTAAGCAGAGCGCTTTTAAATAAATGAATGTTAGTGAATGCTGATGTTTCTTTAAACTCATCCTGATATTAGGGGGGCCTTTGGGATTTTGGAAGCGGAGATTTTGGGATTTACTCGAGCGCGGCAGAATAACGTAGGGAGGGCTACCTTGCACCTTGTAAAGTATTCCCACCATTCCTGAGCCCTTTATATAACAAAAAACAACAATTGGCTATGGCCTTACTGAACGTTTCACGTAACATCCGTTCTCAATTTCTGACACACTCGAATATTTTTTGTTCCTATTTTCAACTCCTTCGCTATTCCTATTGGACACACCATCAAATTGACAAATTAATATTTTTCGGCCATCACAAAATATTTTATTTTGCTCCTTCCCTTTATATAGTAAAGGGCTTGGGTAGAGTGGGCGTACTTCACAAAGTTATTCAGCCAGACCCAAGTAAATCCCAAACTCTCCGCTTGGGCTCCCCTTATTAAGATGTAACATTAATATAATTAAATCACAGAAAAAAAAACCGGACAGGTTTTCATTAACCTTTATGACGACAAGCTGTTTGTTAGTGCCGTTTGTTGAATTTATCCGCATAACTTAATAGAAATAAATACCAAAAATTAAGAGTGACACCATCTTTGACTTTATCAGAAAACCGTTTATCTTTTTCAGTTATTCGATCGCCTCAAAACTGAACGTCCCAGTGCATTCAAGAAATTGAAAGCCCTACAAGGTGACGTGTTATTTCAAGATTTCGGTCTTTCGAAGTCCGATATAGAGAATTTATCCAATGAAGTGTCAGTCGTATTCCACTTCGCCGCAACCCTGAAGTTGGAGGCTCCCCTTAAGGATAACGTTGACATGAACACGAGCGGGACTCAAAGAACTTTGAACATTGCAAAGCAGCTCAAGAATTTGTCAATCTTTGTACACTTGTCAACTGCTTTCTGCTATCCGGACTACCAAGTGTTAAATGAAAAGGTAAATATGTAATTCTAATAAGTTTAATCTTTATTGGTATCTTGAATTTCGTAGTTAAATGTAAGATCGATTGAGAAAGTGAAATATGTCGTATATTGCACAAAAAATAAAATGTCAGAATGGTATTTATTATAATGGTGGTATTTTTAACACATACACCAATTAGCCTAGCCCCAAAGTAAGCTCTGTAAGGCATTGTCCGATTGCGATCTAAGTTCGCGCGAATAGATTTTTAAACATTTTAGTCGCGCGAATGAATCGCTCGAGATCGCCTATTAGGACACCTATTCTAGATCAATATGTTTGATCGTCGACTCGTACGATGATCGCATCGCTCATTCGCGTTATCGCGTTGTATTAGGACAATGCCTCAGACTTGTGTTATGGGATACTAGGGAAACAGATTGAATATATTTATTTGAAACGTAATATAAGTAAGTAAATTTATATAGAATTATATATAAACATCCATAATTAAGGTACAAATACACGTATTCATCATACTAAACGTTTGCCCCCACCGGGATTCGAACCCAGGACCTCACGAGTAGGCGACACCTTGAAACCCGGCGTATATACCACTCGGCCTTGGAGGTCGTAAAACTTTTAATAATAGTAGGATACATTTTATGTATACAAATAGTTTTAAATTAAACATGGCACCAAGCTTGAAGATGATGCATCACAAATAAAAGAAAATTCTTAAAAGGCCGTGCCGGGTCAAAATCATACAATGTTCTAGCGTAATTTACAATATATGCTGCAATAGTGACTCATTTTAAACCACATGTAAATAGAATTAAATTTTTCCAAATTCCTGCCTCACCATAATACTATGTCTCGGACGAATCGCTGCAAGGCTGCACTTGCATTAGCTACAAGTCGCAAATTGCAAATCGTAAATAATTCATTTGCCACAAATATTTCTCCGTTCAGGTTCACGCCCCACCAGCTAAGCCGGACGACGTGATGAGACTGATCGAGTGGTTGGACGACAAGCAGCTGGCGATCCTAACTCCAGCACTCCTGGGTCCCCACCCGAACTGCTACACGTACTCAAAGAGGTTGGCCGAGAACATCGTCGAGACAGCTTTCGACGAATTACCTGTCGTTATTTGCCGACCGAGTATAGGTAAATAGTTATGTAATTACTATAAATTTTCAAAGAAACTCTCGGAAAAAGCAAAGATACTCTTATAAATACGACTGGTTGATGCAATTGCAGCGCTTTTGCTTTTTGCTCCAATTCGATTCGAATCTCTGCAGGGCGCATTTATTCGTGTAATAGTAACAGTAAACAGAAATATTAGAAGGATACGCATTTTCAAAACTGTTCACATAATTGTCTAGTAAGTTAATTTTTGTTTGCAGTGTTATATTACTGAGCCAGAATTCCTAAATCTTTTTAAATAAAATTTCTTATATCACCTTCTACTAAAAGCAACAATTTCATTACGATCCACCCATAACTTGAATACACAAAGTTTGAATAAATCGGGGAAATAAGGCCAAAGCCAATTTTCCAGCCAAACTGACTAAAATAGGAGAGGAGCTCGATGGCGCAAGTGGTTAGCGCGTTCGGCTGCGATCGTTGAACTTAAGCAACTTTCGCAGTGGTCGGTCATTGGATGGGTGACCAAAAATTACTATCTCGAGCTCCTCCGTGCTTCGCAAGGCACGTTAAGCCGTTGGTCCCGGCTGCATCTACAGTCGTTAGCACCCACCAATCCGCACTGGGCCCGCGTGGTGGTTCATGGCCCAATCTCCCTATTCCATCCATAGGGAAGGCCTGTGCCCCCGAAAGTGGGGACATTAATAGGCTGATGATAATGATGATGGCCTTTGACAATTAGAAGCGATAAAAACGTGTTATGATTAGACTTGCAACGAATAGTATATTCGGCAGTATACCGAATATTCGGCGAGGCCCCTGACCGAAGAGCCGAATATTAGGCAAAAGTATTCGGTGGATTTTAGCGCCAAAAAGTTGTACAGACGTGATTGTTTCGCGCTCCTTTGTTTTTTCTAATCTGCCGTCCTCAAGCTAAAATGCGGCTAAATGACAAAACCAACTTTTGAGATATGGCCAAAAACGGCGCGTAAACTTTAAATTATTGCTATTATGTAACCATTCATCACATGACTGAATGAATTAAAAACTGTTAACTTGTTTAATACAGAAAATGATCAATTATGTACCTGTTTTATGTACCTATGACTACTTAATAAATGATTACTTAATAATTGAAGAAATGAGAACCTAACCCTTCTAAATTTTGATTACCACAATCATTCAAATACATAGAATCCTCCATTTTTCCAATTCTTATATAACAGAAATAAAAATATAAATATAATACGTAATCAATCGATTTTAATTTTTCATTTTACCAATTATTTCTCTATGACAAAATATATTATTTAAATATTCGGTATTCGGCCGAATAGTATGTAGATGTTCGGTATTCGGCCGAATATAATAAAAGCAGCCGAATAGGCCGAATACCGAATAGTAACCGAATATTCGTTGCAAGTCTAGTTATGTTAGTTATATATTGTGGTCGTGCTACGGAGACTGATGTGGTATCACTTCTACTTAGAAAACTGTTTGCAAACACCAACAAGTTCTATTGTTGCAGTATGCCCAACTTACATGGAACCAATGCCCGGGTGGGTGGACAGCCTGAACGGTCCAGTGGGCGTGATGCTAGGGGCGGGTAAAGGGGTCATACGGACGATGATGTGCGACGGCAGCCTGGTCGCGCAGGTCATACCCGTCGACGTGGCTATCAACGCGATCATCGCGGTCGGAATGATCGAAGGCAGCAGAAAGGAAAAGTTAGTTGATCACGTTTTGCATTTGTTTATCATCTATATATAAGAAAATCAATTGCTGTTCGTTATTCTCGAGAACGACTGAACAGATTTATCTTATCTTGGTCTTGAAATGTTCGTAGAGGTCTAGGGAAGGTTAAAAAGGTGAAAACTATAGTCTACCTACACTACAGCTCTACACCGAAGCGAAGCGAGGGCGGGCCACTAGTTTTTTAATGAAAAAGACAGGAACCCATATAAGTTAAGGATTTGGTTATTAGAACTCCTATAGATTTTAAGGCTAAAATGAGAGATAGGATAGTGGACGCTTAACTTCAATGGGAAGTAGAAGTTAAATAACATCCTCTTTTGGTAGTACTATGTTTCTGATGGCGACTAAGTTTCTGGGACTCCACGCCACTCCACGGGGTAAGACATTGAGATTTCAGTCCGGCAAGGTGATGGAGCGACTGGAGGTGATGGGGTGACTGGAGCAAATCCCACCAACCACCCATGGCCTGGCGAATCTTCTTGGTTATGCAGGCCGAAGCAGCGGGAGATACGCGCGGATTGGCCTCCACCGCGTGTACTTTCTTGACTCCCTACAAATTATTCTTTATCTGTCTCCTTGTCCCTATGGTCCCTCTCCCCTTTCTGGGGCGGACGTACACGAAACGCCTTCGTCGCCATCCCAACCGTCCCGTGCCCACTCTGAAGTGGTACCGCTTTCTCTAATTGTACGGTCCTCTTCTCTCTTCGCCTCGGGGTGACTGGAGCAGTAAATTTTTGTGCAGCAGCATTTTTATTTACAACTTCATTCTATTTCACTCCTAACGTTAACTGGGGTAGGGTAACATGCGGCGCTTGCAAAAATACTTACCTTTAAGTATTTTTTTTTTATTTAAAAACCTCTGTCACCTCAACCAATACGACGCAAGACCAAATAATTCACAAATTCGAATAAGATTAGATCCAATTAGGCGCAGTTAAATAGTGCTAGTAAAAAGTTAGTAGACGCAGCTCTTTCTTCATCATCATCAGCCTATTAATGTCCCCACTGCTAGGGCACAGGCCTTCCCTATGGATGGATTAGGGAGATTGGGCTATGACCCACCACGCGGGCCCAGTGCGAGTTTGTGGGTGCTAACGACTGCAGATGCATCCGGGACCAACAGCTTAATGTGCCTTCCGAAGCACGGAGGAACTCGAGATAGGGAAATTTTTGGTCACCCATCCAATGACCGACCACTGCGAAAGTTGCTCTACTTCAACAGCTCTTTCTTACTCAGATCAAAATAAGAGACAAAACTGTAACCAGACCTGCTTGTTTGCAGACCCGAAGTGATTCCCGTGTACAACTTGAATATTGGCCACCAAAAACCCACAACATGGGGTTCCGTGCTCGAAGTGGCGAAAGCATATGGCCGCAAAGAACCACTCGAGTGGCCCTTGTGGTATCCCAACGGTGACATCACGACGAACAAAGCGCTCCACGAGTTCCGAAGATTCTTCTACCATATGATTCCCGCGTATTTCATCGATTTCCTACTGCTTATTTTCGGACAGAAACGATTGTAAGTCGCAATTTTGTAATTATACCTAATAGCTGAAAGTAGACGGTTCGAATTTGTATGGAGGGTGGTAGTCAGTCTCCGGCAGACTCAAAATTTTTATGACTTAATTGTAAATCATTTGACAAAAAACTAGAATTTATTTTGTCTCCATTTATGTTTTTTTTTAAATATATAACTGCTACATGTTTAAATCTAAAAAAAAGTTCGAATTTTCGCTTTATTTTTTTGCGCTGCATTGCAGCCTAATGCTAGAGAAGGCCGTCAGGGCCACCGTAGCATAATGGTCAGTGCATTCGCTCGGATAGCGAAGGGTGCGGGTTCGAGTTCGAGGCATTTGTCATAGTGTTCTTGCTGCGATTTTAAGCTGCCACAGACTATAAAAATCATTTTTATTTAAACAGTTTAAAATTAATCGGCGATGAATAAATAAATATTATTATCTGTTCATGTTATTACATAAAACAATCTTTCAAATGATACATGTTTTATCGCCGCCGGAAACCGGCTACCACTTTTGACCATCTCCTTTTAATGTAATGCTTTCCAACAACCTGCTGCCTATCGTTATACTTATGGATAAATCGAAAACATTTTCTAATTATCACAATTTTTTATTGTAACTTAAAAGATATTAATTCATGTCTTTGAGTCCCGTTGTATGTACCCGTGTGTTTTTCCCTCACTTGATGTTTACTAATAACATATTACATTTTCTATTACCCGATATTCTTATTAGTTTTTATTCGTTTTAAACTCTTTATTGGATCAAGCAAATTTTTTTGCAGCATGCTAAGGATTCAGGATAGGATCAGCCAAGGTCTGTACGTGCTCCAATACTTCACGACCAGGAACTGGTGCTTCGGAGCGGAGAAATACGACAGCATACAAGAAATCCTGAACGAGGAGGAGAAAGTGATCTTTAACACTAACCTCATTAACGCTGACCGTGATGAGTACATGAGGAAGTGCGTCAACGGGGGCCGCGTGTTTTGCTTGAAGGAGGATCCCCACAAAATCAGCAGGAATATAGCATATCATAACTTGTGAGTAGACCAAAATTTAATTCTATTTAAAGGACAATGTTAAAATTGGCCTAAGAACCAACACCAATTTGGCATTCATGATAATTCTTAGTAAATTTTTTGCGATAATTATAAGTATTTAGATTGTGACGGACACTTCCAGTTAAGTAAGCTAAATTAAAAAGTTAAAAAATAATCTCAGACAATAAATACCATTTTATGTGTATAATCTATGGCAGCGCTGCCAACAAAACACTCTTTCTTCCTATTGCCGGCACTTCACTTGGCTATTCGTATTTGCTATTTTAAAACATGACATCAGTCTGTCCTTTTCATTCCTTATTAAGCATGACAAGGACAAACTGTTGGCCGGCATAAAACTCGTTACTCTGTGGTTGTGGTGCACATTCACGCTGCATATTTACACAATATACCTACATGTGATATACAAATAAGTACAATAAACAATATGATACAATTATGTGAAAAATAGTCAATAAATAAGAAGCAAAACTACAGTTTTTATTTTATTCATGATTCCCACCTATACAAGTTTTTCCTAATAGTTATTCTTTAAAATCTCACCGAATAAAATGAATTAGTTGTAATATTAATTCACTTCATACTGAGTTTATACTAAATTCATAGGTTGACCTATGTTCCATTGAATATTAAACATAACCTCAAAAAAAATTTAGTTTTCCTAATAATTTAAGTTCTCAGAAGTGTCCGTCAATAATCTTTGTTTTTACAGTCATTTACTTACGATTTTGAACCTAGAAAGTAATATTTCATGATTGTTGGTTCTTAGGCTAACTATGTATGGACGCTGAACAATGTCCTTTCCACAGCTTCCACGGCAGTCGTTAATATTGTTTATGATATTTTCACCGTCAGCCTAATAAGCAGTAGGTATTCTAATAAAACGCAAACAGCTACACGATCATTATTCGAACTTTGTTCATACAAATCAGACAATAACATACGTTCGTCAATAATGACACTTCTTTTATAATCATAATGATTTTTCACCGTGCGTGGTGCGATCAAAGAACGTTAATTCGTATTTAGACAGATGCTGTGTGAATATTGAGTCATTATAACCTATCACTAGGCCCTAATATGGATTTGGAGGTGTCAATGACTTCCAATACAACTGACTGAGATGAAATTTCTTCCCTAAAAATAGAAGCATCCTCGATACTTTGCTAAGTTCGAAATCCATCTCTCGTTCATCAAATGTATAGGATTTACGAATATTGCGTATCCACCTCAGCAGAACTCTTTTCCAACTATACTCATCAAAAAAGTCTAAGCAACATTTATACGTGTACTCATCAAAATAGTCTAAGCAACATTTATACGTGTACTCATCAAAACAATCTAAGCAACATTTATACGTGTACTCATCAAAATAATCTAAGAAACATTTATACGTGTACTCATCAAAATAATCTAAGCAACATTTATACGTGTACTCATCAACATAATCTAAGTAACATTTATACGTGTACTCATCAATTAAGTCTAAGCAACATTTTTACGTGTACTCATCAATAAAGTCTAAGCTACATTTATACGTGTACTCATCAAAAAAGTCTCAGCAACATTTATACGTGTACTCATCAAAAAAGTCTAAGCAACATTTATACGTGTACTCATCAAAATAGTCTAAGCAATATTTATACGTGTACTCATCAAAATAATCTAATCAACATTTATACGTGTACTCATCAAAAAAGTCTAAGCAACATTTATACGTGTACTCATCAAATAAGTCTAAGCAACATTTATACGTGTACTCATCAAAAAAGTCTAAGCAACAGTGTTGAACTTTAGAGCGTTTTTTACTTGTTGTATAGGAATGCTACCTTAATATTGTAAATGTGAAAGATTGAATGTTTATTACTAAATCACGCAAAAACGACTAAACAGATTTGGATGAAATTTGGTACCCATATAGTTTATGACCTGGATTGAGACATATTATACTTTTTGTCCCGGAAAAATTTGAGATTTCTGTGGGATAAAAAAGTAACTATAACGCAAACGCGATAAAGTCGCAGGGTGCACGAATCTTTTCATTGCATATATTTGTAAAAAAAAAGTTTAAGGGGCTTAGAATGAGTAGTAGTCTTTAAAAAGATAGAAATATATTATCACTTCTATAATGTTTTGGACTTTTGTATAACGCATAAACTGTGTTTTTGAAATCGTGTTCAACAAAAACGGCTGAATAAAATGCGATGAACTGAAAATATAATATGTTTATAGTGTATTTCTTAATATCATTTAGTCTTTATTTCATTAAAATCGGTGCACACTATCAAAAGTTCTTACAATTTGAAGCCACGCAGACGAACGGTACTTCATACAAAATGTAACTATTAATACAGAAATAGATGGCGCTGAATAATTTCAACTTTAACATTGACAGTGTGCGGCACGCTGGGACGCCTCCGACTCCTCCCACACAGGCCACAAACACCAACACTACACAGCTAGCATACTTACACGTTAGCTTAGCATTAGGTAGACACCGCAGGACACCGTACACCGTAGGATAAGAGTGCGAAGACCCGGTCTACACACGACACGCTATACCAGGTACAGGCACGTACCTGGGCGTTTTTCCCCGCCCCCCACGACAACGGTTAACTAGAGCCGAGGTCCAAGTGGACTAGAGGCTCCAGACGGAGAGGGGACTCCCCCCGTGGGGAGATGCCATCCGCCTGGAATACCTCTAGAGGCACTCGCCAATTCTCAGCTTGGAGTCTACATTCCTGGAGTTGTTTTTATTAAAATAATTTTCACCCCCGAGAAGTGGTATCTACCCCCAGGGCAAAAGTGCAAGTTGGCAATATGTCACTTTTCTTTCTTAAGGTATTCCCCCACCTTCTCACCAATTTTCATGAAAATCGATGGAGATTCAACGAAATCGGAGGTGAAAACCTTCATTGACTGAATTATGTCTGGAGAGCTTAATTTTATGGCGCAATATTCCATCTACTTTTTTTTGCAAAAATTCATAATATTCTTATGACAATGTCAAAATGCTTTAGGTGATTTTTAATTTACTAGATATTGAATATCATCGACAATTATTATTATTGTTTTCTTCTGTGTATTCAATTCCCACAGGCATTAGTAACACAGCACTGCAGGTGCTGTATATAATGCTTAACGAGCTTTCTTGGAATATAAAGGCGCAGGATCAGATTTCATTAATGTGTGACTTTATTATGTGCGGGGCAAACTATACGAGGCGACTATACGCCGCCATATGTAAGGACGGGAGAACAAAACGTAATTAACAGAAATGTGATTAATTAAATAAATAAATCCATCTCCGTCAATCGTTTTTGCGTGATTGAGAAACAATCTTTCACATTTTTTATATTAGTAGGATAACCCTAATAGGATGTACCCTAGGATGAGGCACAAGAGGTTAGCGCGTTCAGTCAGCGATCGGTCGAAGTTAAGAAACTTTCTTAATTGCCGGTTATCGGATGGGTGACCAAAAATGTTTATTATATCTCGAGCTCCTCCTTAGTTCAGAAGGTACGTTGAGCCGTTGGTCCTGACTGCATCTGCAGTAATTTGCATATACAAATACGCACTGGGCCTGCGTAGTGGGTCACGCCTCAATTTCCCTATCTCATGTAGGTATAGAAAAGACCTGCCGCAACAGTGAGGAAATGAAAAGGTTTGTGATGATGAAGAATAAAATTTTTACTCTCATTTTCAAATCTTTCCTTGCCATTTGTTATTTAAATACAAATCAAATTGATGAAAACGCAGATTACGCGGACGAAGTCGCAGGCAAAGCTAGTATTTAATATTTAAACTACCTGTACTATTATAAACACAACCGAAAGATTTTTATTTTTAAAATCAGCCAATTATGTTTTCGGGAATAGAAAAGATTGTATAGGTACCAATATACTTTACGGAGAAAAAAATTAATTATCTATTAATAATAATAACGCATACAAGTTTCTGTAAAATATTTTTTTTTGCTTAGACTTTTTTGATGTGTGTATTATGTATGTTATCATCTCATTACATTATACCAAGCGAGTTATGGGTTTGAATATCAAGATGTGCTGATGAGGTCACATATTCAAGTGAAAGGTCATATCAATAAGGTTTTTGTGGTTTCGTCAAATGTCAGTCGGTAATATGTAATAATGAATGGCTTGAAACAGGCAGCAGACACGTCTTTTCGCACCATTAACACGATATTTACATTTTCTGAACAAAAATCTAAAAATTATATAATAAACCGGATTGTAAAACATATCAGTAGGCCAAAATAGTAATAAATCAGGTTTTTCTAATTTGTGAATAACAGACAAAAAATTGTCATTATTACACAATCCTACATTCCGTGATGCCAAAAATCTGCCCTGCTCATACAAAGATTAGCACTTTATCTATACTAATTATTATAAAGAGGAAAGGTTTGTATGTAAGTATGTTTGTAACGAATTGGCTCAAAAAGTATTGGACCGATTTAAAAAAAATCTTTCACCATTTGAATGCTGCATTATCACTGATTAATATAGGCTATAGTGTATTTTCAATAAAGTTAGGGTTCCGTGTGAAAACTTCAATAATGTAACCCAACGTGTGAAAAATACCAAAAAATAGTCTTATATCGCGTACTGTTAGTAGGAGCACTTAGTTTGATTTAAAAAAAAACTTCACTTTAAAAAGTATTTGTGTTTGTTGTTACACTGTTATCACTTTATTGTTCTCTACTACTTCCTTTTTATTAGTTTTAAGGATAACGAATCGCGACAGGCTAGTTGTTAAATATTTGGTAAACGGATCCTTTCGAATCGAAAAGTGGTCTTAACAATTCCTAAGTAATTTTAAATTACATTTTCAACGATAATACGAGTAGAAGACGATGGAAAAAATCATCTCCGCTTTACATGTAGGGGAATTTTACAAAAAAAAAGGTTTAATTTCCACTCTGTCGGCGTTATTGAAATCCACAAAGTTACAGATCTCTAGTGCCAACGGTCTCCAAGCGAAACCTCGAACGGACAGACATACGAATATGACGAAACTATTAGGATTCCTTGTCAGGACTACCGGACCCTAAAAATTATTGAATCAATAACGTGCCTACGCTAATTGCGCTTATTGATGTTAGTGTTTGCAAGCGCAGTTATTTTTTGGTTTTGTAATTAGACATTCAAATTCCATCATATCCGGAGACGTATACAAGTAGAAAATTTATATTATTGGGAAATAGTACTCAACTTTTAAGTTAAAAAAAATATAACATTATTTTCCTGATGCCTGCATATCATAAACTTGATATTTAAGTATTTAATTTATTGGGTAGAATTTAGAATTATCTGTCAAAACAAGTCATTTTATGCTACTATTTTTAATAATTACATACATAATTTTAAACTCTATTGTATCCTGTATCGAATAAAAGATGGCCATACTTGGATCATTATAAAGTAGCCGGTAGTCCATTCTCGATTCAAATTCGGCGTTGAGTGCGAAGACGACATTCAGCGCCGAATTCAAAGTTGTACTGTACATACCTACGCTGTTTCCTCAAGTTGTACCTTTCGTCTGCATTCAAATAACTGTCATCGTCGTATGTAGAAAAGTTTCTTTAGAACTGGCGAAAACAATCTGTTATTATGAAGTTATAATGAAATATGTTCTCTTATAAAATGGCTCCAGTGGCTCTTCTAAACTTTTCAAGTGTTAAGCAACCACTCGGTTACGCACTTATGTATTTGGAGAGGATCTGTTTAGGAGTTGACACCTAAGCTTTTATATGAGAACAGATATAAAACATATAATTTTATTATTATGTTTGCATATAATTGACCATGATTATTCTAAAAACAATTATAATTGTAATGCATCATACTAAAGAAAAGTATTGTGGCGATGAAGGTACTTTAATCAATGTCGTTAGCATCATATCATAATATGCAGTTATTAGCACCAATTTGTACATAGCCCGCTTGGGTCATCATAACCCAAATTTTCCTATTCCATCAAAAACAAAAGAAAGGGCCGTGCTCCAACTTTGGGAACATTTGTAGGCTGAGCATGATGTGTGACGAAAATAATGTCAAAGTTAAAAAATCTAAAGGAAATTATACTAGAAAAAAATCCACGCGGTCCAGGCAGCAGACGGGATTCGAACCCGCACCCACCGCTATCTGGGCGGACTTTTTCTAGTAAAATATTCTTTAGATTTCAAATTCTACTTAGCAGTTAAATGCTTAAAATAAAAATATACCTATAATACCTAATGAATACAACTGCGTGTACACGGATCGTTTTACACGTAAGTAGATAAAGTGAGATTCGCAATTTTTAAAGCACTGTCAACTGATATCAACTTGATGATATTTATTTACGTGATTTAGTTAAACAGCATTATTGATCGTTGTAGTACACTATACAGCTAGCATACTTGCACACTAGCTTAACATTAGGCAGACACCGCACCCCGCACTGCACTGTGTCATACAGTATAAATTCAAATAGTGTTATTTATATTACAAACGCTGTAAGAAGCATGAAGGTCGCGGGAAGCCGATGGATGCGAGTGGCGCAGGACCGATCGATGTGGAGATTATTGGGAATAGCCTATGTTCAGCAGTGGGCGTGGTACGGATGACATGTTTAAGTACCGTGTTATAAGTAAACACAAACAAATAATGCTTCAGATAACGGTATCGGTGTGACTTTTCATCCAGCCTTGTGACTATCCACATAGGTGTGACGAATAAGGTTGCCCCTGATAATACAAGGCAGGGGCTATTACAATGCATAAGTACAAGACTTGCAAAGTATGCTTGAACGGTAAATCGTGTCGCTGCTAATTACGTCATCGTTGCCTTTGTACCTATCTAAACAACGATAACATTGTAACCCATGATTTCCTTTGCCTATAATTTTATAATGAGTCCATACAACAGGATACTGAAAGAAGTTTCTGTGTTCAATACATACCTTTCTCAGATGACATACGTATCTATAACTTTTCTGAATTCGCATTTTAAGTAGGTAGTAGTAATTGATCCTATAAGAGTTCCGTTTTTTCCTTTCGGGGTATGGAACCCTTTTTTTACACCCCGTACTGATTGAACACGATTACGGGTCCCCGGATTGGGAGTCACCGCGCGTCATGTCCAATGAGGGCTACCGTTTTTTGTCTCCAGATGGCGCCACTGTTGAGTGAGGTCCTGAAGTGTAGCTTTTAAAGTTAGTAAACACGCTCGTGATATCAAAGTTTACATTTTAATACAAAAGAATCGTATCTTAAACGTAATCGCCCATGCCACAGTGTTGCGCAGTCCCGTTTTGTTCGGAAAAAAGAAGGACAATATTTTTTCTTAGCTCCGCTTTTAAATAACTGACAATCATTGACACGTAACTCATATTTGCCATAATAAGTCTGATTTATTACCAAATATTCACAACTATTATTTTATTTAGAAAAAAACCTCGTAGTCAACCCGCAAGCTATAACATTTCGGAGACCTCACGCAACACAAGCGCCTCTAGCGGCGGTTTCAGACGCGATAGCCCTCATTGTCCCACTGCGTCCCTCCCTCATTGTCCCATCGCGTTGATGCTATGGAGGGGATGCACATCCCCTCCCGGGCAATCGCAGAAAGCCCGCTGGGGGGCTAAGGGGGGACTCCTAGCTCTCTCTCTCCTGTGTCGGAGGGAGTTCGCGTGGGCTTGTTCCTCACGGACCCTCTCCGCGACCTCTTCCTTCGAGAAAACATCCTCGCAGAAAGAGGCCACCGCCTTCCATGATCTGTCGCTGCCCAGCATGGCACGAACCACGCTGGACGGGGAATGATCCTGTCCCACAGCCGCTACCAGAGCAAGACAAAGAGAGTAAAAAAGCGGCCAAGTGCGAGTCGGACTCGCCCATGAAGGGTTCCGTAGCAGAAAGTAACATAATATAAAAGTTCTTGTTAGGGTTACAAAGGTTTATGTTTATGAAATTAAATGTTTTTTTTTATTTTAATATTTGAATTGATTGAATGAAAGGTAAATCACGGTTTACGATTGATGACGTAATAAAAAAAACTACTTGCTAGATCTCGTTCAAACCAATTTGCGGTGGAAGTTTGCATGGTAAGGTACATCTTTTATTTTTTTTAGTTTTATCATTCTCTTATTTTAGTAGTTACAGGGGGACACACATTTTACCACTTCGGAAGTGTCTCTCGCGCAAACTATTCAGTTTAAAAAATATATGTATTAGAAACCTCAATATCATTTTTGAACACCTATCAATAGACATCTCACACGTATGTGTTTTATGACAAAAATATTTTTGAGTGTCAGTTCTAAGTATGGGGAATCCACAAAATTTATTGTTTTTTTTTCTATTTTTGTGTGAAAAACTTAATGCGGTTCACAGAATACATCTACTTACCAAGTTTCAACAGTCCTTATACTTTCGGAAAAAAGTGGCTGTGACATACAGACGGACAGACGGACGAGCATGACGAATGTACAAGGTCTCCCGCCGTAGATTTACGAACCGATGGCGTAGCGTTTGACTTTCACAAGAGCTTGTAACAGCCTAGACTGAATAAATGAGTTTGAATCTATAAGGGTTCCGTTTTTTGCCGTTTGGCTACGGAACTCTAAAAATAGCCCTTGCTGATTTTCTTGCCGTTTCTTGTTAGTAAGTACAGTCTCCCGCTGTAAACTTGTGAACAACCTCCTTGGCCGAGTGGTTTGTACGCCGGGTTTCATGGTGTCGCCGACTCGAGAGGTCCCGGGTTCGAATCCCGGTGGGGGCAGATGTTTGTGTGATGAATACCAGCATTTGTACTCCAGTCATGGATGTTTAATATGTATTTCTATATAAATATACTTATATATGTACCATATATGTATTCTATCCGTTACCCTAGTCATAACACAAGCCTTACAGTGCTTACTTTGGGGCTAGGCTAATTGGTGTGTGTTAAAAAAAAAACTTGTGAACGATGGCATAAACATAGCGTTTGACTGACGTTCATATGAGCTAGACTGTATAAAAGATTTTGAGTTTATGTTCATAGTAATAAGGCGCTTTTCTGTTTCCAGCCTCTACGTGCTGGACTGGATCGTGAAAATCCTCTTCTGGCTGCTGGTGCTTTCTTACGTGGTGTCGTGGAGTGACCCGGTTAAACATCTCTTCTCGTACGGCGGACCGGTGGTAAAAGCCTTACCATTCCTAGGCCGGGCCGTATTCGACGGAAGCAATAACGAATAGTTTCATTTATCTTTCAATTGAATCGTAATTCAATGATAAACACACGTGGTGAAAATTGAGTTTTCAAGTTTACGGTATGTTCACAGTATTGTTCTATTTTAGTAGGCCAAAAATTATTTTTGGTCCGCTATGTAGGCTCAAAACCTGTAATATTACCGTGGGCAAAGTTAATCTATGACGGTTAAGAAACTCCCCATTTTGGGGTCACCTATTTGAGACTGGATTTTCAAATGCAATGACTCCTGCCTGAAGTCAATAAGATTCCAGCCAGCTTTAAAAACCTCCAGTAAAAGATAGGGATAATCTGGTTCCGTTATTTAGCAATCGTTGTTATTATATTCTTAATATTAAAAATATATGAGCAACAAAACTTAAGTAGGCTTACCTCAGTCAACACTTCCAGTTTTATAGCGGCTAAATTTAGATGAGAAAATATGTAAATATTTCAAGTTTTCTTTCGTGAGCTCCGCCGTCCTCAATTAGAACTCGATTACCTTGAGCATGCCTCAAATCACAATCACACCTTTTATTTTGTTGGCGTAGGACCTAGATGAGTATAACACACCTACATTACAATTTTTGTCATTTTTTAAAGAAAATGTGCACGCGATCTTGCAAAAGAATTATCTAGCGTCCAGCATTAACACCTCTCGTCCAATCAATATTTGTTTAGCAGAGGTCACTACACTTAGCACTTATTGCGCTAACTTCAATTTAAATAAAACCATGTTTGGTTACATCTCATTCTTTCTGTAATGACATCAAACAATACTGGACTCCACTCACATCAGGTGTGTAGGGTAATTTGTCGTGACTCCTATAAAATAATACAGTTAATCGAGATAAGGTTGAACCTACATAATTATGTTGGCGCAAGTGGTACGTATACTTCAATGAGGGCTATCGCGTATGAATCCGCCGCTAGAGGCGCTAGTGTAGCGTGAGGTCTCCAAACTGTCAAATGTTAAATTTGTGGGTTGACTACGCGGGTTTATCCCTAATTAAAATAATGTTGTGAATATCTGGTAATGGCTCGGCTTAATTATGGCAAATATGAGTTACGTGGCAATGAATGTCAGTTATTTAAAAGCGGAGCTAAGAAAAATTATTATGTCCTCCTTTTTTCTGAACAAAACGGAACTGCGCATCACTGTGGCATGGCCGATTATGTTAAGGATACGGTTCTTTTGTATTAAAATATGATTTAAATGTAAACTTTGATTTCACGTGCGTATGAATAAACTTTAAAAGTTTAAATTTAGGACCTCACTCAATAGTGGCGCCATCTGGTGAGACAGAAAACGGTAGCCCTCATTGCCTTAGTTCATATTTTATACTGTACTAGCGGCCGCCCGCGACTTCGTACGCGTGAATTTAGTTAGTAATAAAGGTTCACTGCTCGTTCCCCTTATGTGATAGCGTGATTATATGTAGCCTATATGTTGACCCGACTTTTTAATAATATTCTTGCCGAATTTGAAGTAAATCCATGCAGTAATTTTTGAGTTTATCCCAGACATACATACAGACAAACAGACAACAAATCTAAAAACTATATTTTTGACTTCGTTATCGACAGTAGATCACACCCCCAGTATTCTTTTAAAAAAATATTCAATGTAGAGTTTTAACTTTCCTACCATTTTTTTATACTTCCTACTTAGGTAACATAGCAAATAAATACTGATATCAATCTTCTGAGCTACCTATAATTGAATTTTGAGTTACCCGAGAAAATTAAAAATCGTGTAAATAAGCATAGTTATAAACCGCAAATATTTTGATTTTTATTTATATCGTTTATAAAATATCGTTAGACGGCACGCGTAAATAACATACTCATTATGGAATTATTATCCGTTTAAAGTACACGCATTGGTACAAAAAAAAAGTAGTTCTATTTGAATCAATTTATAACAATAAAAATTGTTAAGGTTTCATAATTGCAGAAATAGTGAGTTAACATGAAGTCATTTTTGGGAAAAAAATAATTTCAAAAAAAACTATTTTTTCCGTAAATATAATCTAAATCGTTGTCTGAACCAGCTGGTAAAGTTTCTCAGGTGGCTCAAAATTCACGGTGTATAAGGCCTTTTCTTGCTCAAGAAATAAAGGCGTAACTCCAGCGCACTGGGCTATCATCTATTAGATAATTAAATTGCGCCACAAAGTAGGTAATCGGACATTGCAATGTAAAAGGTAGTCTTAAATTGTAACCTTTCACATAGTTTCAAGGCGGAATTTCACAAATTTTGTGTCCCACATTCTTACATAAGTGATAAACGTAGTGCGATCGAACTTCTCAAGTGTTAATTTATAGAAACTGAATATGCCGACCGGTTCCCGCCGGTCAAGGGCATTGCAACCGGCCGTTAAGTCATTATCAACCTTATCTGCCTCCGCAAGTATTCTACGTACTTAGAATAGAAAAAAAATATCAACCGATATTAATTATCATTATTTGTTATTGGTTGTTTAAAAATGTTTGGTTTTTATTTTTGAATTAGCGGAGTGCTAAAAAAGGGTTCCAAGATTTTTATTGCAAACCGTACTTTTCAAGCGACATTTGACAGATAGAGGTCATTGGCTTTTCTATTCTTATTTGAATCGCATTAAACGTACGCACAATCAATAGCTGTTACTGTGTTACAATGTGAGTGAATGTGTTACCGCCAACTGATAATGCATAGCTATATACTTACTTAATAGGTACTCATAAATAAAATGGTTTACAGTCACTCGATTATACTGTTTCCGTTTGCCCAGTTCTTGGTACTGAATACAAGAAGTATTCATTTATAAATATAATGTAACTACTGTTTAATATAAATGAATGTTTACATATAGGTAGGTACTCAATTGAAGAAGGCTGGAGGGAGACGTTAAGTTCATAGTTCGAACTAAGAATGTTTTAGTACCTACAGAGTTATAACTACATATATTAATGATAGTGAATCTGAGCATGGTTGAAGAAACCCCGACTAAAAAAACGAGCGAGCATTATATTAGAAAAAAAAAATAACCTACTACAAAAGGAATAAGCCATTTGAACATTATGTTCTAAAATCAAATCAAATAGCGCGCGCTTTCGCGACTTCCTGTTACACACTTCCCTCCCATTTCACGAAATCACTCCCACAAATTGCAGGAAAGCGAGAGGAAATATGTTACACATCAAAAAAACCCTTCCGTATCACTTTGTTTAACGCTTTTTAAAGTAGAAAGTCAAAATAATATCGCTTTTACGTGACATACCGTAAACTTTCTCGAATTAACTTTCACATCGAACATCAATCAACTTCATGTTTTTTTACTTAATAGTTTAAAAGTTGTCTATTTTTGTAAGCTAGATCTTTGTTCTTTTTGCTGTTATAGGGTATTTTTTTTATATAAGGTACTTTTCACGTGATTTTCTGAATTCACGCTAGTCAGTGAAATAGCTGAAGCTACCTCATTTAACGAGTTACCTACACGTAGGGCTGCCATCCGTCCGGGTTTCCCCGGATTTGTCCTAGTTTACGGGGCGTCCGGGGAGCGTCCGGGCGGGGTTTTATTTGTAGTCCGGGTTTAAAAAATTACGGCAATGCATGAGTGGCCCTTGGTGCTGCAAGTGTCCATGGGCAGCACTTATTATGAGGTAGACCGCTAGCTCTTTTGCCTAGATCAACATAAAAAAGTTGATTTGTGACATTTTTAACTGTTTTTTTATTGGTCTGTCCGGGTTCTGGGCTTCAAAATCCGGGGTTATCACTCGTCTTATCCTGGTTGCCACATTTTAGAGATGGCAGCCCTACCTACACGGACCTGAAAAAAAGGCGGACGTAACCTCGAAGCATGCCAATAATGGCCGTATGTTGACCGCGTCTACATGATTTGAGGGTTGTCGGATAAATCATTAATATCCCTACTTTATAAATCTCGCAAATTTAAACATTGTTAACCTTATGTAATCAAATATATTTAATATTTTTCAGGTCCGTGGTTACCTATTACAGAATTTAATGTAGCAAACCGAGAAATCCAAAATAGCGATAACGCATGTTTTATTTAATGTTCATAATATATGTTCTAATTTTTTGAATTGATAAGATATTTGATGAAACATCAAATAACCGTTTTAAAGAATTAAATTTTTAAATTAAACACTTACCTCCTTATTGTAAACGAAGAATAAGCTTGGATTAGTTACTCCATGTTTTGTCTTTGTTCATAGAATGACAAATGTCATATGAGTGACATGAACAAAACACCACCAAACTTATTCCTTGTTTATTAGTAAGGGGGTATGAGAGTGCGAAAAAATGGTCACTTTATATTAAATGCTATTAATATCGAAATGAAGAATTCATAAATGAAACATACTATATTATGTTTTATTTAATGTAGCCATTTTAGAACCCGTTATCTGAGCTGCACGGATTCGGGATGAGTAGAGTCGAAACCTTTCCGTAGTCACAAGTTTATAAATAGGTACACATCCGCACAAATGCCCTACAACGTTTTTTCAACACATTTACGAGAAAACAGTCCCTAATTATACCTCATTTTACATATTTTTTTTCATTTTACAAAGCAAACTTTTGTCTAATAATAAATTGGCGCTTTTTTCCAAATGGTACCACGAGGTGAAAATTAGAACTACATCACGTACTAAAGTGATTAAAAGCGTTTCCAAGGAAGTTCGACGGAAATTTAAAAAACCCGTAAAGAATACGCACGGCGCCATGCATGGGAGCGTGCGGTAAAATGTTTTACCGCGCGCTCCGTTGGATGGCTCGTAATTTTGAACTTTCGAACAATGTATACAACCACCGTAAATACATTTTTTGAGCAAGTGTGTTGAAACAGTACATTGAACTACTCATCAGCAACATGTTCCAATGTCACCGTATAATCGTACAAACCATTGGTTCATATTTTAATAAGTGATCATAAAGTGTGGATGGACTGTGCACGGATACTAATTCCATAACATATTTAGCAATCGACTTCAATGCAAATCCTTTATGTTTGATGAACCATTCGTATTTAAGTTAGACAGCGAATTTTTGTTCTAGTTCACAATCAATCTTTAGTTTACAATCCTACTAGACAGATCATGAATTATCGATTTGTATAATAATGCGGTGAGATTTATTAACATAAACGAACTGAAATAAGCGTCACACACGCAGAGATGTCAATTTTAATGCTTGTTAAAGTGACGTGACGTATTGCCAGAATCGCCTAAGATTATTGATGTCGCCTCAGAGAAGGTCGTAAGGTTCCTTATCTGATGGCACGGGTTACGTTGATACAGTACATGTATTCTGACTGGCAGTAGTAAGGTACTTTACCTAAATAGTACAAGTGGCTGGCAGAAAAAAAGTAGGTTGTCTACTAAAGTCAGTGCCGTCTTTAACCTATTGGAGGCCCTGGACTTATTAGGATAATGGGGCCCCTATGACTTCCGTTTGGTGATTTAACAGGAACTAGGGACTTTGTATTTGATCTGAGGGGGCCCCCTATCGATCGCGGGGCCCTGGGCACTTGCCCAAAGTGCCCACTGGGAAAGACGGGTCTGACTAAAGTCCCACTTTTAAGTGGCAATAAAGGGTAAATTTTTACACTGTATTTTTTTATATTAGAGGTAAAGGTTGAATGTTTTTCTGACGTAAGTGGGCAGCAATTAGAAATTAAAGCGGAAATGACTTAAATACTTTTTTCCTAGCGTGGCACACTGAAATAAGTAACGTTTTAGATATTAATAAATCTTTTACACGATTTTATATTTTTTTTAGAAGTAGGTAATAATGGACGAATTGAAATTTACAATTGTTTTTTTTTTACTTTGAGATATTAAATAAAGATTTTTTGTATAAAACTCAATAAAGTTTTTTATTCGTGAACTGCATTCCTGCACATTGATATGACGAGACCGCGGAGTAAAGTGCTTTATGCGAAAGTACCTGTTAAGTCCTGTGATGCTGCTGTTCATCGATAAGTCAACAGGATACCAAGCTAGAAAAAATAGCGAGAAAGTATTCGCATCGCCATGTCCTAGTTTCTATGGAAGGAGCTAGTTCGTCCTTACGTCCAGTAGGTGGCGCCGCATAGTTTCCATAGAAACTTTGACGATGGAGATACGAACCTTTCTCGCAAGTTGCTCGTGCTTGGGGTAGGTACTAAATCATTAATTTATCGCGAATCACTTTTAGCAACGTTAGGCATTTAAAATAAATCATAATCATCATCTGCCTATTAATGACCCCACGGCTGGGGCACTGGCCTTCTCTATGGATGGAGATTGGGATTGGCGGGTGCGAACGACTGCAGATGCAGCCGGGACCAACGGTTTAACGTGCCTTCCGAAACACGGAGGAACTCAAGATAGAAGTTTTTTGGTCACCCATCCAATGACTGACCACTGCGAAAGTTGCTTATCTTCAACGATCGCAGCTGAACGCGCTAACCACCTGCGCCATCGAGCTCCTCATAATACTTATAGATGTCTAAATCCAAACACCGACAACCCACAGCGTTTAACAACAACGTGAGCGTTCTAAATTTATTTCGTTTATTTTCACCGGACTACTTTTGTTATTATTATTAAAAACTAGTGAGTGCCCGTGACTCTTCGTCTGCGTGGAAAACTTGCTTCCCCATAGAATCTTCCATCCCCTTTTTGAAATAACTGATAAAAGGGCGATTGGACGATAATTAGTGATACTACGTTTATTACCTTTTTTAAAAACTGGTTTGATAATGGCAAGTTTTAAACTATCCGGAAAAATTCCTTCGTTATAAGATTGGTTTATTAAGAATGTAATTGGATTCTTGAACTCGTCAACACAGTGTGCTAGAAGTCTAGCCGGGATTTCATCATGGCCGCAAGAGTTGTTACGTTTTAGAGACAATATGACTTTTTTCACATCAGACTCGGATATGTCGCCTAAAAATACAGAATTCATGAGTGAATTCTTTAGACAGTGATAAGAGCTAGTTTGGTTTTTTGAATTAATGCCAATGAAATAATTTTGAAATGAATTTGCAACTATTGTCGGAGAAACCACTTCTTTGTTTCCTTCATTTAAAATTATATTTTCATGTCTTACGTTATTAGCTGGTTTAATTTTTTCATTAATCATGAACCACATTGCTTTAAGTTTATTACTGGAAGTTTTTAATCTATTTATATATGCATTCCTTTTTTCATTCGCCACTATTTTCTTTAAGATTTTATTATATGATTTAGCATAAGCTTTAAGATTTTCATTTTCATAAAAGACTGTTAGGTGACGTAGAATTCGTTTATGATAACTACATTTCTTTATTCCTTTTGTTATCCATGAAGTCTTTTTTTTGTTTTTCATTACTATTTTCTTTTTAGGGATGTATGTATCTAATAGGGATCTTATTTCGGTTTCAAAGTTATTGTAATTAGTATTTGTATCTTGTTTTGTAGACAAAATTTTTGACCAATCAATTTGCTTTAGATGTATCTTATAAGCTTCCATATTTTTCATATTATACGTTCTTTTAATTATTTTGTATGGGACTGTCCTCACTTTCTTATGCTGTACTAAAGGTATGTGCCCAATCAGTGTATGATGGTCTGATAGGTGGTTTTTTTGAATGAACATTTCTATAGATACATTTTTTGTGACAATAAACTGATCAATACAAGATGAGGTACTCCGAGTCTCTCGCGTGGGTTCTCTGATAAGGCAGTACAACCCATAAGATTCTAAAAGGTTAGTAAATCTTCGCGCAATGCTTGTATTTTTTGTGACATCAATATTTATGTCACCTGCAATAATATTTTTTTTATTTAATGAACATTTAGACAAATTCTCTAATAAACTCTGCATCTGTGAGAAAAATATCTCTATATCACGATCCGGTCGATAAATAGATATTATTATTAAGTTTAAATCAATTACGTCAATAGCACAGAACTCTACAACAAATTCAAATGTAAAAGATTGGATGTCAAAAAGTTCCCTGGTTTTAATGTTTTTCTTTGTAAATATAGCGACGCCACCATGCTCATGCCTTTGACGTATATACTTAGCACGTAATTCATACCCCTCCAGTGTATAAAGCTCAAAATTACAAGGTAACATCCAGCGTTCGCCTATTACTATAACATCAATTTCATTGTCTGACAAAAAACAATTCAATTCTTCGATTTTATTTGTTAAACATTGTATGTTCTGGCACATTATCCTAAAATTATTATTAGGCACGAAAGGAAGACTTTTCTAAATCACTTTTGTGCAGATTCGTATGTGATGTAGAATCAGAAAATTCTTCTCCCTCCAAAAAGTTACATACTAGATCTTTTTCAATTGCTAACATAAATTGTGTTACATCATAGAGTATGGATTTAAAGCCATAGTTATTGATTCTTCCACATATTACTGAAAACATTTCGTAGGAATATACAAGATTCTTATTCGAGTCTAAAATATAACAGTATTGAAATTTTACATTATCATTATATAGAAATTTATTAAATATTTCAATTCTATAGTTAAAAATGTTTGCTTGATAACAATATTTAAAGGTCGGTACACATAAAATTACGTTCGTGTGCTGTACGGAAAGAAGAACTTCTCTTATATATTTTACGATATTTTTATAATTTTTTGACACAATAAAATCTGCCTCACCCATAAAAATAACACAGTAGTCCTTCAATGTGAAATCTTTCAATTTATTTTGAAGTCCGCCCAGCAATTGACGTGAACCACCCCCGGGGATACGGTAGTGACACATGTTGAACTCACCAAAATTTCTTCTCACCGTTGCAGCTACTTTATTTTGATCGATGCTGCTGATAAAGCATAATTTACTTGTGTTTATATTCTTTATTTTTAGTTCATGTGAGTTTGAATTATAAATACTCTTTGACTTGATCTTATTTTGTTCTATTTCTTCTGGTTCCTGGGTGCGGGAACTTTTGGAAGCTGGGGTTGACATACGTTGATTGTTTACTCCATTACCTTTATTTAATTCGTCTAAATTTATAGTTTTATAATTCTTAATTGTTTGCTCTTGCTCTAAGTTCCTCTCTGATAAATGTCTAATTGTCATAGTAAGGTTTTTAATTTCGTTATTAGCTGTTTGTAACTTCGATTTCAATAACATTATTTCTTTTTTTAATTTTTGTAGATTTTGTTTATTTTCTATGGTGTCGTCCGGCAAACTTTGTGAACTAGTATTCACATTTATGTCACAGGAAAGTGTATTTTCTATTGACAGGAACGATGCCGATAAATCAAGATGCGATGCAGATTTTTTCCGTCCTCGGACTGTCACAAAATCAAAGTTACTTTCTTTTTCGGTTTCCTCGTCTTCCAATAAAGATTCAAACGAGTTATATATAGGGATATTTATATTCGTGTTTACTGCATTTTGTGTGTTTTGGAATCTACAGCTATCACACTGACAATTTTGACGATTTTCTTTCTTCATGAGGTAAAACATTTTTTCGCCAATACTAGTGCAATCAACGTGGAATTGTTTTTTACAATCCTTACAGATTATGAAATCTCTTCTCTCTATTTCCTTACCACACTTAGCGCAGTCTTGTGACATTTTTATCTGTTATTATAATACAAAACCCCCCAAAAAAAAGAAGAATAAAAAAAAAAGGTAAAAAATTAGTATAATTTATTCTCGAGATTTGAACCCGAGTCGTTGGTTAAAGCGCTCGGTGTTAAGCGCCACAAGATAAGCTTATAGTGACGGTGAAATTAGCGTACTATTAGTTGGTGTGCGCGTAGTGCTGTCGAGAAAGCTCAATGACCTTGTGACAAAGTATCAAAACTGCGATACGTTAGAATTTTTGAACCACCTTCAATCACTTTTATTTACTTATTGTCTTCGTTTTTTAATTGTGACATTCTTATTTTATTCACAACACAGTATTTTTAAAGGTTTTATTATTGATTCACTGACACATTCACAGTTCACTTAGTATAGCCTCATAAAAGAAAAAAAAAATATATTTGGATTTAATTAATTTTTCGTGAAGGGATGTCTCGGATAACGATAATTTGCGATTATTATAAACTTGGTGATAGTTTTATAACACTGTATCAAAAGGAAATGTAGATCTACGTACTTTTCATATGCAAAAGTAATCCTTAGTCCTACCCCGGGATTCAAACTATATCTATACCAAACATCTAAATCGTTTCAGCGGTTTAAGCGTGCTGAGGTTACAGACAGACAGACAGTTATTATTTTGAGCAAGTAAATTAAAGGACCGAATTTGTCAAATTGGTTTTAAGAATGTGCTGAGTAATTGCGTATCACGACTGCCCTTTGTTAACACCGCGTGGTGATAAGCCCTTAAACAATGTCCATTGCCCATCACGACTTTACTGTGGTGAAGAAAACGTTCAAGAATTCTTAATCTAATTAAAATTTTACTAGAAGAAGTTCCACTTGGACCAGCGATACGACGTCGCATCGCAGGAACTTGCGATGCGAATTGCTGCGAACCGATTACGCGCGGCAAAACTGTGGTTAAGGTTACCTTCAACCTAATAGTAACATGAATCGCAGAAAGATTGTTGCACTACTGTTTTTGTTATTATAGCTATAGAGAAAAAAACGCGTGTGCTCATGACCACACGACTGAAGTGAAACTTCTTTAGCTCCGTCTGTATGTGTATATTTATATATATGTGTTCAATATATACATGTATATTACATAAACACATTTAATTTACTAGCTATAAGAGAAAGAGAGAAAGAAAATGTGCGCGCGCACTGCTTTCTCTTGCTTATATACCCCACTCAACTCCCGTTCGCCTCGCCCAAACACACTTTTCGTAACGCGTAACGCATTCGCTAGCTTAACCCCCAAGTCAAATGTAAAAAAGTTTCACTTCAAAAGAAGATTTTGGGTTCATCCATTTATTACGATTACGATCGCTGATGGGAACTATTTTACTCGAAAATACTATGGTTTGAGAACATAAGAAGATATTTTTTTTGATTATTTTAAAATGAGCATATTTATTTGTATAGCTTTTGAGTTCATTATCATCATGTCTACAAAAAAATCTCTGTCTCAGAGCGGACTAAAATGGCGGCTCCAAGTTTGACGTAATATGGCAGGTATAAATCAGATCGGAAGTTTTTGCGGTGCATTCGTGCGAGCTCGCAGATATTTGCGATGCGATGCGAATTCGCAGTTGTTTAGCAGCACATACAGGAGGACACAATAACTAATGATGTTACTGAGACCTTAATGTCGAATATCTTCTTGTACCTATTTGTTATGCTACAAGGCAGCGGAAGACGTGGGTTCCTGTCAGAAAACTGGACCGAGTTGAAACTTTTACTAGTAATATTTTCTTTAGACTTGGAAATATAACAGTTGAATGCATTAAATATATAAAATTTAAAGCATTCAAGTGCTAGATATACTTATGTAAAATATGTATACAATAAAAGTTTGTTTTAATGGTAATAAAATGCAGTTGAGAACCTATTGCGGTGCATTAGATCACAAAGTACACAATGGTGTCAACAAAAACTACCTAAACTTAAAATGGAATGTTTAATGTTTAAATAATCATGCCAGAATCGAAACCTACGGCCTCATTTATTTTCGTAATTAAAAAACAACTCGCTGACAGAAGATTGTAATGAACTAAAGTACCAGGGGTTCAATCTAGGGTTGCTAGATGGCCGGGAAATTCCCGGATTCCGGATTTCGAATTCCGGGAATATCCCGATATTCCCGGAATTATGCGGCTTGTCCCGTGTCCAGTAGGACCTAATTATCCCGGAATCCCCAAACACCAATTTGTTTTTACAATATTACTACACCCACATTTACCTACGAGGGGCGACAGAACCATGCCATACAAAGGCATTCTGGTAACCCTTGTTCAATCGCCAAACGGTATTGCTATAGCTATCACTATGGCTTACAATTTCATTTAGTTATTTCTGACCGCGCCGAAGGTTTCAAATCCCTCGCGCTCTTTTTACCCTTAAAAGAAATTGTTGAATTGTTAGAAATTACAAAATGAAATCGTAAGTGATAGCAATAGCATTTCCGTTAGGCTATTGGCCCCCAGGGCCATTTAACGTTATAGAAGCAAATTCTATTGTTAATATATAATGAGCCATGTCTAGGGACTATGCTCGCTATGGCAAAATAAAAAAATCTAACTATCTTTATTCAAATTAAATGCATAGTACAACTCTTTTAAATCGTTCAAAACTTCTGTTCCCTTAGATTCGTTAATGGACTTTTTTTAGCTGTGGAGAAACACGAGCAAACATTTACAGAAGAGACGAGAAGAGCAGACACACATTATTATAACAAATGAGTAATTTGTAAGGCTTTTGTGTTCTAAATTCATTGATTCTTTTGCGAATTATTATAGAGTAAAATATTCTTGAAAATTGTTAAGAAAATTTCATGACGATGATTACCAGCATATACTAGGTTTTAAATGAAACTCTTAATTTAATATAGTACTATAATGATTTATTTGGTAATATATTAGAAGACAATTAATCAGAAATGCAGTACGAAAACCACATTATTTTAAATCTTTACGGCATCTACCTCTACCAGCTACACTACATTTACCTGAATTATAACAAAGCATGCATTATTTTTTTTAAAGATAGACGAATCTGTAACATTCGCTTACAACAACCATGTCTTAGATTTACATAAAAGTTCTATAAAATATATAAAATCATCAGAAATAACAATCTCAAATAACGCCAGCATTTCACACGACATTTAGAAATAAAATTTTAAATACCGTAAGTGAGGGTTACTTTAGCTCGGGCGGGTAACTTTGTCCCAAATCAGAAAAAATATTGAACTTGCCGCCCCATCAGTATCTTTTGGGTGACCGTAATAATTCCAGTTGAAAATCACAGATAGCCATATAGGCGCGTAGTGTGGTGTTGTTTTACCGACATCGTTCCTGTATCAAATTGTCATTGTAACGCGGGATTTTTTGTAACTGAAATAGTTCGCAAGTTGATGCGCAAACTTTCTCAAAACTGTGGTTTTCGGTAAGTTTACAATGTTGTCTTTAACTTAATTATTTTTGGGTAAAAACATCCATTCTTGTATACGGTATGCTAATGGTGATCTGTTATAAGGGTTACTTAACCCCAACATGGCTTAAAATGAGTTTTTTTGACAGAGAAAAATCAACGAGCTAAAGTAACCCTCTTTAAGGCCAACTTTGGCCCAAAATAAAGAAAAATATTTATGAACACTTAAATATTATTTTTTCCTATTTTCTTAACTTAACTATAACTTTGTAACTTATACTTTAAAGTTCACAATGGAGAGATATAAACGTGACATATTCATCACAAAGAGAAGCTACAATTTTATTTGAAAAAAAAGTGCACATTTTAGTTCAAAGTAACCCGCCGTTACTCGGTACGCAATTTAATACAGTCATTTGGTAGATTTAGCTGGAAAGTTTTGCGGGAGTTTTAAAAATTGGTAATTTTATAGATTTTGAGGTGCTCTTTCCGAATTTCGACTTTGCCACCTCGTATAAATACGAGGTTGCAATCGTAAAAAATATTTCTCACCAAATGACTGTACTAGTTATAGCTTAAAAATTATACTTAATCTACGCACATAGAGTTTGAGTAAATTGCCCAAAAAACTTATTCATAAACAAAAGTAAAAGACACATGTACGTTACGGCTAAAGGGGTAAAGTTTAGCTTTTACTGAGTAGCGTTGACAATATCAACGAATTCTGGCTTCAGACTGGCTGCTCCGACTATGAATCCGTCTGTGTCTGGGCAGGCAGCGAGCTCCTTAGCCGTAGCTCCTGTCACGGAACCACCATATTGAATGCGGACTTTAGCTGCTACGTCAGCGGATACGTTCGTGGACAGCCAGTTACGCAAAGAAGCATGCACATCCTGGACCTACAAATAATATGAATATACCCCTACACAAACTATATATATTTGGATTCTCCATAAAATTTACTATCTAATCAAAAAACAGTGTCTAAATAATGCGTCATGTCTATAATCTATTTTAATTACGTTACGGTAAACTCGGGAAAGATAAAAAAAAGGCGTTTAGATGGGTAAAATGGAGTATATTTTCAAAATTTCAAAATTTCATGTCACAAAAACTAATCACTAGTTCACATACAAGAAAATAATATAAAAAAATATTTCGTTCGTGTATTTGAATTTCGAACGACCGTTCCACCGCGCGAATTTTGTATTTTTTTTATTTCTTCAAAAATACGAACTCAAGAGATTCTTTGTATTCAAAGTATTAATCATGAATAATTTATTCAATAATTAAAAATTAAAACATTACAATTATTATCGGAATTATCAAATGAAAACATAAGGTAAGTACCCCTAAGTTTTCGCTGATTTTTTTTGCGACCGCGTCTGCAAAAAAATTCTAAAAAAAACGAAACATCAAAATAGAGTAACTAAACGTATTTAACTTAATTAATTATATGAATGAAAACAGAGGTCTAACAGGTTAATAGAAAATATGTTCCTCTCCGATAACTTGGTTTGGGAAGCGTTGGCAGCGTTTGGGAAGCTACGTAAAGTCCTGACATCGTCGATCCCACAGCGCCTGAAGACGAAAGTCTTCAATCAGTGCGTCCTACCTGTGATGACATACGGAGCCGAGACGTGGACACTGACGGTACGTCTGGTCCACAGGTTGAAAGTCGCTCAACGAGCTATGCTCGGCGTTTCTCTGAAGGATCGCATCAGAAATGATGTAATCCGACAGAGAACCAGAATTATCGCCATATTCAAACGGATTAGTAAGTTGAAGTGGCAGTGAGCTGGCCATATTTGCCGAAGAACCGATAACCGTTGGGGTAGACGAGTTCTGGAGTGGAGAGCGCGTCTAGGCAAACATAGTGTAGGACGTCCTCAAGCACGATGAAGTGACGATTTACGCAAGGTGGCTGGCAGGAGCTGGATGCGAGCCCAAGATTGATCTGAGTGGCGTGCATTTGGAGAGGCCTATGTCTAGCAGTGGACTAAGATAGGCTGTTGACGATAATTAATGAACTTGGTTTCAATAATATAAGCAACCAAAACTCCAACATTAATTTCTAAGTGTTTAAATATATAATCAATGGAAAGAACATGAAATTATTGTTACTACTGTTAATGAAAAAAAAAAGTAATGCGAATGACCTATTCATGAAGTTATTAAAACTTTAAAAGATCATGTGATTCCTAAACACATTGCGCTTACTTGTTGAGGAGTAGCCGATTTTCCAGTGCCTATAGCCCATACACATTCATAGGCAAGCACAACCTTGTCCCAGTTGCTGCCGATAGCAGGCAGAAGAGCCTTGGTTTGTCTGAAGACAACTTCCTCAGTCTTCCCAGCCTCTCTTTCGTCCAGTGTCTCGCCGATACAAGCAATCACCTTCAAGCCCGACTCTATTGCATGAGCAACCTGTAGAGAAAATATGGTATTAGATCGAGTAATAACCAAAACTTACTACTGCACAAACAAATTGCTTATTGTTTACCATTCAAAACTTATATCTTTATGTACACATTCAGTTCAAAACCATTTATTAGTAAAAATAATATAATATTAACTTTTTGTGCGATGAGATCATCCTTTTCTCCGAAGAGAGTTCTTCTTTTGGAGTGTCCTAAAATCACCCAATCAGCTCCTACATCTTTAATCATGGCGGGTGATATCTCTCCTAAAACACATTATAAAGGATTTAGTGTTTAACTTTTTATTATAGTAAATCCATCCATCCATCTATCAGCCTTTCTCCGTCCACTGCTGGATATAGGCCTCCTCCATATTTCGGATCTTATCACGTAGGGAAACACCGAGCACAGCTCTCTCCATACCACGCTGCGCGACTCTGAGTTTTGTTATAAGGCCGACATTCAGAGACCAGAGATTCAGATATATATTATAGTAAATATGTAGTCTTACTAAATTTCATTAGCTAATGTACCTGTGAAAGCACCCTTAGGGACTTTCCAGCAATTTTGGGCAGCAACGCCGATGGTGTCTGGCACAATGCTTTTGACATAGGCCAAGTAAATAGCTGGAACTCCTATTACAACCTGTCAATTCAAAATAATAATAAATTTAACATGACTATAAGGATAAGCTTGAACAAAATATTTTGTTACTATTATTTTCAGCCACTAAGGCTAGCATCACATCAACAAGTTGTTGGTTCATCACCAATAAATAAATATATGTATGGTATGATTCTTTGTAACATGTTTGAGAGAATGAAATGGATATTATACAAATCTAATCAAACATTAGGAGAATTGTGTCCAATGTATTTATACATTACATCATCGGAATATCAATGAGACTCAGTTTCATCATTAGACAACAAAATGATAAATAAAATACTATAAGTATTATTGGTGCTAACTAACCTCTACATTAGGATCCAGTGGGCCTTTCTTCAAGTTGTTAACAATCTCATTTATTTGCTTCATATCCCCATTCATCTTCCAGTTACCAACAACAACAAATTTGCGGCCCATCTTGGTTTATAAGAAGATACTACTGCATAATGAAATAAATTATTAAAAACAAAGAAAGTGTTAATGCAATAAAGGCAGATAAAATTTGTTTATAACCATAACAATATCTATGTTTTAGTTCTACTTTGGATAGACAGGGTAAAAGTTTTAAAATTCGATTTTTGGGCAGTCATATAAAAAAAAAGATTTATTTTCTTATACAGTGTGTTTCAAAATACTATTTTCTTTAAATGCATGACTTTTTATAATGACAGTTATAATATCATGTTGAAATTTTCTTCATGTTGATACATATGGTAATTTGGAAAAACCTGCCTTAAAAATATTTGATGGTCATGTTATATGCCGAGAGCTTAGATTAGAAAGTAAATAATCAAAGGCAGAGAGCTTTAATTATGATACATCCTTTGTATATACTTATTAGATTAATTTATCAAAAAATTGAGCCCAAAAACTCCTCCCTGGCAAACTCCATAGGAGCACCGCCAATAATAAAATAAAAGAAGACAAAGATTGTAATTTATAAAAATACTGTTACTACTGTACTGTGTATAGTTACTGTTGTACTGTACTCAAAAGCTCCTTATAGTATTGACCAGAAGGAATGGAACTACCTATGCAACTTCCTATTGTGGATGCAATATACTATTAAGGGCTGATTTCTTGAACACTGGATAGATTTATCTGTCTGAAAAAACATATATACGGACAAAATAAAGTGTTAACTTGTGTCCATTGGTATAATGTGAGGGATGACATCTCTCTGTATTTGATTGAGTAGTAATATATTGAACAATTCAGTTTTATCAGAGTTTTGAAAAATTGGCCCTAAGTCAAATAAAAAAGGATATTTATAAACTAATTCATGTAAAATAAGTTTCACACACCACCAATAAATTTTAAATTAAAAAATATTACGTATTTGGCCTAGCACCTAAGTACATGCAGATAATATATTCATTATTTTGTTATTTTTATAGCTGAATATTTTAATGAATAATATTACTATTACTTTTATTAGAGGATAGCTACCACAGGAATTAGGGTATTTTCCAAATTTTTGAAAAGTGCTTAATTTTAAATATTGGGACAAACGATTTAATAGAAAAATCAAAATAAATTAAATAATGTCTTATTTTCTCCATTACACCAATTAAAGTTGAATTTATTTTTAATAGTTTTGAATTTACCGCCTGACGCTCGGTTCGATGATGGGTGTATTCCGAAATATACATCAGCATAATGGCCAGTGGTAATGACGTCACGAATCCGACGCCATATTGTACTGGTATGCTACCATATTTTTACCGGGAAAACGAATATGTCGTATGACCGAGCGTGCGTAAGATGCATTCTAATTTTATTTCTTTTTTCTAAAGAACAATAATGGCATCCGAACCAAAAGAATTCCTTTACATTGATGAAGTGAATAAAAAATCTTCTTTATTCGCACTATTTTTAATATTTCGTCGATTTATGACGTCAGTGCACTGGCCACATATTTCGGAACAATTCACCAGTATAGCGTTGATTCATGATGTCATTAGCACTGGCCAGTATATATATTACGGAATACACCCGATGAATACAATACAAGAATTTTAACACCTATGTAGTCTGAGGACGATCTGTGATTATGGAAAGTTTATTTGACGATTGCTTTTCTTTTAAAATATTTTGTTTATTTATTTTTATTTTTTTTTTATTTTATTGACAAAGATTCACCAACAACATATAATTTTACATTACAATTTGAAAAAATATATAAATACCATACTTAAAGATATGCTTTTTAATAGGTGAATACAACATTCACATAAATACAAATAAACTACAATGACAGATTAAACAAACAAAAAAATATATACACCATCGTGAAAAACAGGTATACTGAATCATAATATTATTTAGTCTGTGTTACGGTCTAATTTTATTTTTTCCACAAACAACCTCTTATATACTCGCTCAGTATTGTGGAAAATGTCGACACTGCAGTCATGTAAATCATTGTAGGTACGCATACACCGGTATAGAGGAGCACACTCACCAAGTCTAGTATTGTTGCGAGGGAGATCAAAGCTTTTTGACATCGGATGTCTAGGTATTCTATAAGGGACTTTAATATTCACCTGTTTAATTAGATTTGTACAAATCAATTTTCCATTGATAAGCTTATGAAGTGTCATAAGATCAGATAGTCTGCGTCGGTCAGCCAATGGCGTCATTTTGAAGTGAAGGAGACGAGTATTGTAATCAGCATCCCGGGGGAAAACGCGACTACGATAAGCTAGGTAACGGGTAAATTTTCTCTGAACGCGTTCTATCCTATGGGAATGCACTTTATAGATGGGGTTCCATATGTTTGAAGCATACTCCAACTTACTGCGAACGAGAGCATTGAATATGGTTTTAAGGGTATCAATGTTTTTAAAATCCTTGCTGACACGTTTTTGTGTAAGTATTATACTATAAATTGATCCGAACGTAAAAAAAGTTAATAATTTGACCTTCAGTTGATTAAATAAAATACATAAAGTTCACGTCACACAGTAGACGACATCGAACCGAGAGTTTTGGCGGTAAATTCAAAACCATTAAAATACATTCAATTTTAATTGGTTTAATGGAGAAAAAAAGACATTTATTAATTTATTTGAATTTTTCTGTTAAACCGTTTATCCCAATCAATAAATATAAGCAGTTTTTAAAAATTTGGAAAATACCCTATTTGTTGAATAAATAAAATACACACCTATCTGAGTAAAAAAAAACTATGTTTTAGGATTAATTGCGATTTGCCATAAAGGAAGGACCTTTAAGGACATTATTCATTGCAAGGCTTTAATCATAAAATGAATTTCAATTAACCTTACTTAATAATATCATTGGGTAAGCCGGTCAAATTAAGTAACAGAAAAAAATGCCTTACTACTTCACAGATTGGAGAAATATATGCTTCACTCTCGCCTTTCAAAAGAGGACTGTTGCAATTTAATAATGTTAACTGAGTGAATTACTTTGTAGTAATACATTACATTACTTTGTAGTAACTCACTCAGTTAAAATTCCTAGAAAAAATCAGTCAACCACGGGCTACAATATTCGAACATTGTTTTTTGGCGTTCGACTCTATGGCTCACATATCGATTTTGACAGTTCTTCACCCCCTACGTCGCACTCCCCACCCCCTTTGATACCATACCTCTTACCATACTACCATACACTGTGGTGACACCACAAACTCTGGTGGTAGCGCATCAGACGGCGAACTCCGCTAAAAATGAAGCCTCACATATAGATTTTGACATTTTACTTTTTTTTTCAAAACGTACCTTTTATAGATACTTGGATAAGCGTCTTTTGAGCCACATTATTTCCTGTAGGATATTGGGATCCGCTTTTCAATGTTTTTATATTTGAATGCACAGATAAATGATTGGTCCGGCTTCACTCGACTAGATACCGCGCTGTCAATAAACAACAGCTCCATAAATGGGGCAACTCATTATTGTAGTGTATGTATGTCAATAGGCTAGTTGACTCATGTCGAATGGAATAAATAAATGTTTATTTCTTAAAGTATTTGGTCTAAGGAACCTAAATAAATCGATTTCACTTCATAAAAGCAGAAGATTGCTGTAGAAATTAAATTTAAAAAAATATTTTTAGTCTATATTTTTTAAACACTAAAAACGCTGTTCGCCACATCCGCCATGATTGTGACGTCTCTTGTTGTGGGAAAATATTGTAGGTTATAATTAATAATGTACCAGGTTACAAATGTAGCTCATAAAATACTTGAAGAAGATGTACTTAATTAAATGCGAATATATCCATATTTTAGTGTACTTATACGATTAGGCGTAGGTTTCTTCTTTTTAAAATGCTTAGGCCTCAATTTATTTTTTTACATGTAATATT